TCACATTGAATGAGGAAGTCATCGCGGAAACCGAGGCGTATTTCGAAGGCTGGACGTTCCGTACTACAGAAAGGGCATCGAAATGTTGGAAAATCGCTACCAAGTGTATCGCCCTCGAAGGGCAACTATATTGAGGAATAAATATAACTTTGCACAAAAAAACGCTTGTTTTCATTAAAAATCTCGGGACTTTTCAGCCCATGTAGTATGTGTATATCATAAAGTAGAGCAAGTTCTAGTCCTGTATAAAAAAACATCCTGTGTAAAAAACATAAAGGACCCCGTACCAATCTTATGGAAAATATCTCTCTATAGATCCGGTAATCACGTAAAATTTGAATCTTTCAAGGCTTGTAGCGCGGAAACGGCTCATACACAAGATCAAGTTGTGCCCATTGAGACATTTGTTCAGAATGAAGAGAACTACAACATATCCAAAAATATCTAAAGCCGCAGAAAGACATTTCAATAAAATTGTGCCGGATCCTTTACTCATTTTTTTAGTTGTAAACAATTATAATTTGAAATTAGATCACTGAGAATTGCTCCTTTCATTAGTTTTATGAGCTTTTACAATAAGCCATTACCTAGCTTTAAGTTTTAAGTTTTAAGTGTGAGAAATTAACCAATCACAGTTAAATGTGAAAAAAATAATCGCATGTGTTTATTGAAAACCCATTAAATTCACAATTTTAAAAATGACCGCAAAATCAGTAATTTTCTCGCCCGTTTTTGATCTCGCGATTTAAAACTAAATCGCTATGTGCCAAATATTATCTTATGATGAGACATTGTCAAAAAAATTTCATGGCATGAAATTTTTTTGACAATGTATTTGCAACAATGTTGCAACAATGTTGCAAATACATTGCGCAATTTATTTGCAATATTACAATATTGCAATGAGATACATATATCTGCAATCATTTTGCAATCTTTCTGTACTATATAGGAAATATTTATGAACTTTAATTGTTAATAATATTTTAACAAATAACAAGCGATGATTAAAACCTGT